TTTATATATATGTTTTTTTCTGTCATTGTTTAGACAGTGGAACCAACAGGGAAGCGTTTCTTGCTTGCAGTTGATGTCAGTGCTTCCATGACACAAAGAGTTTTGGGCAGTGTGCTCAATGCTAGTACAGTTGCTGCAGCAATGTGTATGGTAAGAAATGGATCTCTTCTTGTAGCCATCCAGAATTCTTTAGGCTTGATTATTTAGAACAGTGAGTCAGTATTGTACTGCTCTTCTGGCACAAAGATGTCTTCAAGATGCCACTAGAGGATTCCTTAAGCATGGTGGAAATCTGTGAGTGGCATAGGGCCACCAAAAGTAGCTTCTGTGCCAACCCCCTCCTGGCTTCTGGCATAGAAGATATGGCCAGGACACCCTTATGCATGGTTGCTAGGAAGGCCCTTGAAGACTGTTGGTGACCAGAATCAATAAGAGCAGCCTAAATACTAGGCTGGTACCCAGCATATGTTAGAGGAGTCTTCAGTCTGCTTTTGTCTTAAAATCACTTTCCTTGCAGCACAATGCAGACTGAATTGAAAGTGATTTGGGAAAATATTTATGCATGAATCCATCTCATCAAGCCATGCTTTGAGGAATGTATTCACACATATGGAATGTTAATTTAGAAAGGATGATAATATTTTAAATGGTGAGGAAAATACATACTTTTTTTCCTTTTTAGGTTTTAAAATTACTTTGCTGGAGATTAGTAATATAGAAAAATACTCCAGTGCACTTTTCAAATAGCAGTCAATTTGTTTTTAAAACTTAAACTTTAAAATGAAATTACTTGTGCTTTTTTAAATTTCAGGAATATAGAAAAATAGAAATGTACCATGTTCAAATGTAGTCAGTTTCCTATAACAGAAAGGAAAGAGAGAGAGAACAGAAAAAATTCTAACTTTGTAACTAGAAACTAAAAATTAAGGTGTGTGTGTTTTTTTTTTTTTTTGTTATAGTGATTAGGTCCATTAGTTCATCTTGGATTGCTGCAATATTTAGGCACTCTAAGATATCAGTGCAAATTAAGGGTAGAGTTGAAACATTAACTTCACTTTTTTGGGGGTCAGTCATATCTGTATTATTTTAATTTGGTGCTTTGCGTTTTTAGTAGAAAATATGTTGAATTATCACAAAACAAACAAACTGCAGATAATTACAAAGTGATATAATTAAAATACTTGACCTAATTCCCCAAAACCTTATTTTTCTCCCAGGTTGTTGCACGCACAGAGAAAGATTCCAATATTGTTGCCTTTTCGCATGAAATGGTCTCCTGTCCAGTGACAAAAGACATGACATTACCTCAAGTATTACTGAAAATGTCTGAAGTATGTAAACACTTTTAGTTTTGTTGTACTGTAATTATTGTATAATTCTGATAAATCTATTGCCAAAAATTAAGACATAATTTGAGTGATTTAGTATTTGCATTCTAATTTGTGCTTTCTAATTAATCCTAGTAGTGAATTTATTCTACATTTTAGTAAAATACTCTTCTTGTTTTTCCTTTCTTAATATATCTGATTGCTACTGAAAAGCTATGTCAAGTAAATCATATTACTTTATTATCTGAATAGTTCTACACTTCATTTTAGAGAAGTGGTATTGGCACATAATCTCATAAACTTAAAAAAATGGATAACAATAAATTCTGTAAGGCAAAATGGTGTAACTTTTTTTTTGTAATATTACCAAAAAAGCTTCTGCATATAGTACATAAAGTACTTTACATTTTCAAAGCAAGTGTATAAACAGTCATCTTTATATCTTCAATTCTGCATAGTCACTGCAATGTTCTAATTCATATTTTTCAGTGCTGTTAACTTGTGCTTTACAACAGCACGTGCCATAAAATGTATCAGTTTCTGGGAAATAAACTCCTCTGGTGACGTATCCAAAGCCCATTGCAGTTGGATAAGACTCCAGTTGACATCAGTGGTTAGGTTAGCCTCCAATTACAGTATTGAGTAAAAAAGGCCAAAATCCAGGGCCCAGTCCTACAATTTGATGAGCACAGGTAGACTTGTGCACCCATTTGGAACTCCACTGATTTCAGTGGACATGCATGTTGCATTGCAGGATGGGGCCTGCTGAGTTAGTCGTCATAACTAGGTTGTAAGGAAAAAAAACTTCACTGTCTGTCTGCCATCAGAAAGACTTTTCTTAATTACTAAACTTATTAATTTTCCTTTTATGTTGCTACTCCTTATTTTTCTGTATGTTTTCAATTTTGTTGGCACTGGCCAATTTTGTTGAAGGGTAAAGACTGTGCTTCATATTCTTGAGGTATCATATTTCCTCTACATCCATCTCAAACCCACTCAAGTTAAACATAGTTTTTTAAAGCTAAATTCAATGTATTGAGTTGCTTGTAAGCTATACTTGAGTCCCTTATCATTTTGGTTAAGGTCCCCCCTCCCCCTTAAAAAGAACCATCCTCAGAGAAATTTACATTCAGTTTATCCATAATTGCTCACGAATTCTTTTTGACTACTTTCTAAATATCTAGAGCTGGCTGAAACTTGAAATTTCCAGTTTGTGGGAACTTTCAATATTTTGACATTTGAAATTTTTATATAGAGATTTCAGTATTTTGAAATTTGGTTTCATTTCGGGTAGCAATGAAACCCAATTTTTAGAAATTTCTCACAAACTGAAAATTCTGGAAAAAAAAAATTGTTTTGGAAACAACACATTGTGATTCCAAGAGGAAATATGCTATTTGGGACTCAGTAGCTACTGACTAAACTTGACATGATTCTGGTTAGTTTCACTGTTGGAATCCTACCTGTAGTTCATCAAAAGTTCCTCAAACCCAATATATTTCAACAAAACACTTCAAGTTGATAAATCTTCATTTTCTAACAAAACCCTGTATCACTGAAATATTTTCAACCAGCTCTATAAATAAACATCATTGTTTTTAAATATACTTTGATACATTTTATGTTCAATGTTTCTAATGCAATTAATGTCAAAGAAAGAGTAACCCATTGAATGCTACATTGTAGATAGAAGTAGGAAAGCTGTTAACTTTCTCATGTCCTCCTTTGTACTATCCAATTCAGGGCCACATTGGTGTTGGATAGTTAATCGTAGCTGTTAATATGAAATGATAATATTTATAAGATATCACTGTAATACTTTCAGAATTTTATGGTGAAGAGCCCTATTCAGTTCTTAATAATATTCTTATGTATTTTTAGATTCCAATGGGTGGCACTGATTGTTCTCTTCCAATGATATGGGCTCAAAAAACACACACAGCTGCTGATGTCTTTATTGTGTTCACTGATAATGAGACCTTTGCTGGAAATATTCATCCTGCAGTTGCTCTGAAGGAGTACAGGGAGGTAAATAACCTTCTGATAATACCGTATCATTGTTCTCTCATACAATAGTGGGGAAAAAATTAAATTGTTCAGAAATTTCTTTTAGAGACGAAAGCATTTGTGATTTAATGCAATAAATGTATGCTTTTGTATTACAGAAAAAAAGGTTCATTCTTCGAATCTTTGTACACTCAGGGAGAAATGAATGGCATTCGTTGCAGATAAATCTTGGGGGGAAAAAACAGGAATTTTCAGATAAAAATTTCTCATTAATTATTGGCCCAATATTTACATCCTGTGTTTAAGTTTCTGTAACAAAATTTGACATGCTTAGTGAATTTTTGAACTTTTCTATTGGATATATGATTGGTAAATCAGTGAAATTCTACTTGTACAAAAAAAAAGTGAAGTTCTGATATTCCTCAGTGCTTTGTTATAGAGTTGTTTTCAGTAATGAAGTAAAAACTTGTATAGAAATAGCTGCCAGTATGAGGTTATGGGAGCCTGCAAAGAAGGCAGATCAACAGGAGTGAAAAAGCCACTGAAAGCAGAGCTTATGTTGCTTATTATCTTTTCAGGAGGAAAGCTACTGAAGTTATTAGCTCTGCAGGCTACTAGCCTCCAGTAGCTTTTCTTGTGCTGATCTTGTAAGCTCTGTAGGCTTTCTCCCTATAAGTCGATTTGAAATGAAACTTCACTTATAATGATGTCAAACTGCAGAAAAATTACTTCACTATAAACATGTTCCACTGTAATAAAATGTTGTTCAAATTCTGAACATAATAGATCTTTGACATCCTCAGTAGGAAAGAGATTTAATTTATATTCATATTATACCTTTTACTTTATATAACTCATGTGAGGACCTCAGAGTTCTTCACAAACACTAAAGACTTAGTTAATCACCACAGCACCCTTGTGAGGTAGGTAAGTAAGTGTTACCTCTGTTCTGCAGTTGGGTAAAATTGAGGCAGAGATGTTGAATGACTAGGCCAAGGGTCACCAAGAAGTCTGTGGCAGAGCTGAGACCTGATCTGACTGCAAGAGCTATGCTTTATCCATAAATGCAGCTGTTCCTCCTATTAGATGATTGGATGGCCATTACTGACAACAGTCATATAAAATGTAGTCCATAGAAAATTTAAATGTTTTCTTTTGAAATAGTCTGTGCTGAAAAGTGGGTTAACTGTGTATTCCTGTCCATAGGCTTTGGTGGTGTGTAAAAGCAACTGATTGCATTTATTTCATTTTCACATAAATCAAACTGAGACTTTTATTTTGGTTTAAAAAAATATTAACAGCTAGATTTTGCAGTCCTTACTCATGAAATCTCCTGCTGCCATCATCACTGAATCAGTACACTATGGAGTACCTGAGTAAGGACTGCAGGATTAGGCCCTAGATGATTTATAAATTGTCGTGTGTATTTTCTGGTGTACTGAAAATGCTTTATTTGCTTTCCTTCCTACTTCTAGAAAATGAGTATTCCAGCTAAACTGATCGTTTGTGGAATGACATCAAATGGCTTTACTATAGCAGACCCAGATGATAGAGGGATGTTGGATATATGTGGCTTTGACACAGGAGCTCTAGATGTCATTCGCAACTTCACTTTGGATTTGATTTAATCTGTGAGCACCTGCTATTCACAGTGGGTCCATTGCTGGCAAGAGACTCTGCCCTGAAAACTCCCAGCCAAATGTACTATACTAAAATATGGCACATGATGCACATATCAGAATGATACCTTTTTGTAAAGAGAAAAGCAGATGAGTTATTACTTTTTTTTGTTGCACATAGTTTAAAAATAACAATGGGAAAGCCTTCTAAACGTTGCTACACAGTTTATGATTTAATTTCATTTATAATAGTTGAACAGTACTAAGGTTTTCTGTCACTGTACAATGCCTTTGTCTTCAATAATAAATTGATGAGTTACTGCTGGTATTGGGAGTGGGGGCAGGAAAGGGAAATGGTGGTAATGTTTTTAAATAGTTAGTTTAACAGCAGTTTATTCAAATTTTGTTTTTTAATCTTTGTATTTGAAAAGAATAAGATTCAACCATTTTCATTGTTCAGTTTCAAATCCATAAAAGAGAAATTATTTTCTGGAGTGCACTAGACCATGTAACTGTGATGGAGTGTAAAAGTTACTTGTCAAATTTTATACTGACAAAGTGAAAGTGGAAATATGTGATTAAATTGTGATAATCAGACTTTTTCTGAACAGATTACTATCTGGATCTTCTAAAATAAAATGTGTAACTTTTTTGGTAAATTGAAAGGCAGTTTTTGTACATTGCAATTTCAGCAGCACTATTGTGGAACTTGTATGCTTTGTAAGAAATCTGTACTAACTCTTTTTAGCAAAAGAAAGGATCCCTGAAGTCCATAAAATGAAGTCCCATCCTCCAAAGTAATAGCTTGCTGAAGTTTCAAGTGCTTTTTTGATGAGGAAGATTAACAAATGCATCTGAATTAGTGTAACTCTTAAGTTTCGGTCATCATAACCAGAAAAAAATTAGCTGTTAATTTCTGTATTATCTGCTCATCCTTTTGAAGAAATCTTATCCTAAAAAAGCAGAGCACTTCATGGCATTTAATCTGTTTAAAGCTTAACTTTATTTTTCTGATTTTTAAAAAGAAATTAAATCCGTAATCTATTTTCAAAACTACTTCTACTTCATAGTGACATTCTTACAATGATCTTTCTGCATTATACAGCGGCCGTCTTCACACTCAAAATCTTACTTGTTTAGCAATGTATTGGAAAGGAGAGTTTTAATCTTCTGTATGACAATAAAGAAAGAAGAGGCCAAAAGGCATAGGGGAGAAAGTTATGTCTACAGATAACTTCTTGACTCTGTTTTAGAGCAGGGATTGATAGTAATGCGATTATATAATATCAAAAGGTCTTTTTCAAAATGTCACAGATTAAGAACACAAGTTTTATCTTTAAGGTTTTTTAGTAATACTTTACATCTTTCCCTAAATTGTATGCATGTGGCTGTCACAGTGTCCTGCTTAGGGTGACCAGACAGCAAATGTGAAAAATCGGGATGGAGGTGGGGGTAATAGGAGCCTATATAAGAAAAAGACCCAAAAATCGGGACTGTCCCTATAAAATCAGGACATCTGGTCACCCTAGTCCTGCTAGCTGTGGTTATTTTAAAAGAGTAATTTGGTGTTTGTTTGAAAAAGATTGTAGTTATAAAATAACCTAATTATAGTAAATAATACATCACACTTCTGTTGCTGTGCTGAAAATGTGCTTTGAGATGTAAAGCAGGTGTTCACATTTGAACAATGGATAAACTCTTGATATCTCATTATTCAATATGTTTAAAGTATAACGAAAATAAGTTCAAAGTTAGTGTTTGTAGGATGGAGATTTTAGACTGACAATATTTAAAATATCAGATGGGTGACTGCATGCCCAGGGCTTACTGCCTCAGTTAGTCAGACTGATGTTCAAGGTGTCATACTACCCATTTATGCCCTACTTCGAGGATTAATCAGAACAGTGAAGAATCCCACTCTGTCATGAATTTTACACGGACAGCACTTGAGCTGTTTTTTAAAATTATATCATTTGAAGAACTGGTGGTAACAGAGTAGTGCCTTTCAGTCAAAGTGAATGGAACTTCTTGCAGTTAATCATTGGTAGTAGAATAAAGTTTTCAAAATGCGAGGCTACTAACAGTTTTTTCAGGTGACCACATCCAGAAGCAACTCCATTGCTTTCTTTGTAAAAGGAATTTCAAGAGGCAGCTCCCCCATCTTGTTTTTCTCCTTGTAACCTATCCTTTTGGAGTGAGAAATTCCCTGACATTTTCAAGCCTCCTGCAAAAGAGGTACAAAGAACGTGGGGAATATACTTGATCAAGACGTTGTTAGTTATTTCAAATAAAGGCACTGGTGTGTTTTTTGTTTTAATATAGTAATTTTTTCTAAATCACAAAGGTTGAATATTTAATAAAAATGTTTACTGCTGAGCCAGAAATGTTAATGAAACTGGGTAGGTGTTGTAAGTACAGTTTCTTATTGGGAAGTAATAAGAGTCTAGTGTTTTAGTATAAATATTACATGGATTGGAAAATTAGGAAGGTGTGTACTTAGAAAATGTGAAATGACCTTATGCAATTTTGCACAAACCTATGATAATTAAAAGGATTTGATTGGACTAATGACCGTACTGACAGATTAACAGTGGAGAATTACACTAATACTGAATCATTGAAATAAGCCCAGTTGAAAACCTAAATCCTTGAACTAGATAAGCAGAGTGAAGGTAAACATTCAGTACAGTCAATAGGACATTAAGTACATCTGTTAGAATTGTGTACCACTTCTAGTCATATCCTCTCCATTATTGAAAAGATGGAGTATGCAATATGCTCCTACGTACTTACATTACTCTCTACTGAAAGATACTAATAGGGTACAATTTTACATTCTGACTGGTTTTGTTTGTACTGATAGGACTATATTGTCCCCTATGTGGGCTGCCTCCCCAAATGTTTCCATTAGTGGATGAGTAGGGTTTGTGCCTTCCTACCATGGAAGTGGTAGAGAGAGGAGTCCTTTTTCCCCAATAGCAGATTGATTGAGATCTGCAAAGGCCTTACCTCTGGCAGGAGCCAGGAGGCAACGCAGAGGGGCTGCTGTCGCCTAAACCTCCCCTTGAAGATTTCCAGAGTACAGAGAGGGACAGCTGAAAGTTTAACACTGACAAGGTATTAGCGTACATGCTGAAGTCCCACAAGTCTGGAAGACGTATTGCCACTCACCTCATTCTCTTTTAGCTTATGGTTCTGAACCCTAAGGTTGGGAGCATAGAGCATACGTTCTTTAGTTTTAAATCCAGTAACCCAACAGTTTCTAGTCTGCAGAATGAATAGGTCAAGATAATTTGCAAATTGGAGCGTGGATGTGTGTGTGGGTGAGTCTAATAGTTACAGTAACATTAAAAAAAAACCTATTAAAATGTGTGAGCTAAAGGCGTAATTGCCAAACTTCATTTAGAATTAAATTATTTATGATAAGTATACTGAATTACCTTTTCACCAAAGAGGAGAGATGACCTTATCAAGTTCATATTGTTTGCAGTGGTGGAACACTTTGTTTCCATTTGGCTCTAGACAAAATACAATCAAGTATAATTGTGCACTGAGATTTATTACAGAAAGGAGAAATTTAAGAGCTAGTTTGAAATTAAGTTCAGTTTTTCAAAGCGAATATGTCCAAATGTCTGCAATGGGCAAAAGTCCAATTAGGAGTGTGATTTGATTTCCTGATACCTGCCTGAATAAAGAGGCTTTCAAATTAATTTCCATTTCACTAGGAACCCACATGCTAGTCCTAGATTTTTATTAGAATTATTGATAGCTACAGAATACATATGTGGGTTGTTTAAAGAATGAAAAACACTTAGTAATAGCCGGGTTTGTAATATAAAGTGCTGCTGTGCAAGAGGCTAATGGGGTTTGGAAGCATTTCAAAAATATCTAACATTATCCTAACACCTGAGAATAACCTAACTATTGTGTATATTTAAGGATGTAATGGTGACAGGCTTGTGCTTTGAGAAAGAAATGGCGGGCGGGGAGAACTGGAAGCATAATATGTAAGTAAAATACAGAAAGGGTGATCAAGTGCTCATGGATTTTATACGCCAAGAGCTTGCCTCGAAGCTGTGAGAGGATGCTTTTTTGATCAGAGCAGTGACAAGAGAGCCCAAACTGTAGTCCCATTGCTAGAAGAATATGTATATGGATTTAGGACTTCAAAAAAAACAACAACCTGATTTAAGATCCCAATTTGGGTAGCTCTTTAAAAGACAATTGGGGGCAGGGGAGAAGTATTTCCTGAAAATACTTAGGCCATGTCCACACTTACCAGTAGATTGACTCTGCTGCAATCGAAAGCGGTGTTGATCTAGCGGTCTGTTGAAGACCCGCTAAATCGATCGCAGAGCACTCTCCAGTCGATTCCAGTACTCCACCTCCCTGAGAAAAGAGAAGGAAGTCATCGGGAGAGCGTCTCCTGTCGACCCAGCACGGTGTAGACACCGGGGTAAGTCGACCTAAGCTACGTCGACTTCAGTTAAGTTATTCACATAACTGAACTAGCGTAACTTGGGTCAACTTGCTGCAGTAGTGTAGACCAGCTCTTAAATCCCCTTTCCACTTCATTTATTTACATTTTATACCAATTATATATCAAACATTAATTTAAAATAATGAAATCTAAACTATATCATAGAAAAGTTAATTAAAAGGGAACTTAACAGGTTGTCAAGAATTGGGTTTTACACTGAGAAATTTGGACTTACAATAAAGAAGAAGAATTTAAGATCCATTTGTATTTTTTAAATACAAAAAAAAAAGTCATTTACCCACAATCCTAAAAATAGAAATGATAATCTAAAAATAAGTCTACTCAGCTTCCAGATATCTTGGGGCCAGTTTGATAAAACAGCAGTAAAGTAACTGGCCATAAAACCACTTGGTGCCTAAAACACCTGTTAAGTCAGTTAGCTTGTAGACAAACATAGTTCAGTAATAATAAGCAACATTTTTATACTCCTTTAAGCCCCTAAAATAGTGTGTCGTTAAAAGACTATAAGCACAAACCTTATATTATTCTTGGTTTAAAATGTATATACATTAATCTGGAAATATTTTTTTTTACCTATGTTTGATCTACAAAGGCACCTTCTTCTGCTAACCATTGTTATCCATTGTAAAAACACTCCACTTCTTAATCATGTAGCTAGTTGGCTGCCTGCCCCAAGCCGGGGCTCTAGTTGTGCCAGTTCTATCTATTGTCTTCGCCCCCGGTTTGTTCTCCCACTGATACTGGGTTTTTTTTCTCTTCCCCATCTCTGTTCTGGTCTTTAATCTTTACTATTTAACTTCACAATTCGCCTTGTGCTTCTGATCTCATTCTGCACTATAGTAAGATCATGGTTGGTTGGTAAAGTTG